AAGTGGTGAGGGTTCAAAGGAAGACATCAGAAGGGCTGTAGGAGGAATTGTGGTTGCATATTTTAATGCTTATTTGGGAGATGAATCGAAGGATCTTAACGCCATATTTAAAAAGCCAAGTACTGCTCCTATAGTTATTTTTGTTATTTTTGTTAAACAGCGAGGAAAAAGTTGAATAAGAGACTACACACGACTCAACTTTCGAATCTTGCATGCCAATTTTCTAGTTGTTTCGAATAGTGTACAATAGTCTCCTAGTCAATTTAAACAATGGTCAGTTTTTTCTTAAATATAATTATGGCAGCTAAGGGAATAGATTGTCATTATGGAAGTACATAAGATAACTAGGTTAATTCCTTCCGTTCATGCATGAAGTGTAATTCCTTTAATTTTAGGGAAAACTGCATCCGCGGTTCCAACCTTTTCGTTTTCTGCAGACTTTATCTCAACTTTCATTTGTACCACTACGTATTATAAACCTTTGAGAAATTTGAAGATGCATTCCAAAATGACGGAAAACATTAGTTCCACCGTCAATTGACCTCAAAAATGGAAAAAAGACAAATTTTGACCAATTTAAACATAGGTATTTTCGTTCATTCCTATTTCCCAATCTTCAGTGTGCTAATCACTTTTCATTTACCTCATTTTCCAGGTCTTACATATTCTTCTTCTCTTTCTTCCATTATCGTAGATGTGAATATGGAGAGCAATGTATATAAATGCGGTGACCCTGTGCAGATGAAAACCGCATGGACAAACTGGAACCCAGGAAGAAAATTTCTCACTTGTCCACGGCTTCAGGATGTCAGTGAATGTAACTTCTTTGACTGGTACGACCCTCCAATGTGCGACAGGTCGAGGGAGATAATCCCTGGATTTCTACGTGTTAGAAGAGAGATGGAAGCTGAATTAAACACCTTACATGCAAGAAGTCGTGGTTCATGGAAGACTTGGATATTAAGATTTATATGTGGAGTTTTTGTGAAATGGGTCTGTGCATAGATCCGTGTTAAGTTTTTTGTTTAAATAGAAATGTTTATTCGTCATTTCGCAACTTTTAATTAAGAAAATGGATGAAAATGACATTTTTTATAATGAAATGTGGTTATAAAAGTGAAAATGTAAAAAAATGAAAGGTAATAATGTTTTCTACAATAATAATGAAATGAAAGGAAATTATGTGCTAATTACCCTAATACTATTTAGCACTTGTTGAAACCTATGTGTCAGCATCTTATAGATCATATTAAGTGTGTCATAATTCTTTATATTTAATTGAACCTATAATTCAATGTTACTTATTAAGACCCTGTTTGGGTCGGATTAAAATCTAATTTTAATCTAAATCAAAGTCAAATGATCAATATTAATCACATCTTTCATGGGTTCCATATCTTTTTAACCACACATTTCAAAAATTTCTATCACAATCCACTAAAAATCTAAGGACAATTCCATTTTAATCGAATTTTTTGTATCGAAAATGTTACATCATCTCACATGTGTGCGGGACTAGATGTGTCAAAACGGACGGGTCAGTCAGACCTGTGAAAACCGGCTTGGATCGACCAGGAACCGCAGGCTGTACCTTCACGGGCTTCGCGGGTTATACCTTCACGGGTCAAGGAGGTTCACGGTTCAAGGAGGTGTGACTCGCGGATTTCGCGAATTGAACCTTCACGGGCCGCGGTGAAAAGAAAATTAAAATTTTGAGAAAAATGAGGGGAGCTTAGTAATCTTGTACTTTTACAATCAGTAGAAATTGTTTGACAATTTTTATCATTTAGAAACGATCCATTTTTCTTTTAAATTATTCACTCAATGGAGGAAAAATTTTA